GGAAAAAATAATCCAGTGACAGGATAAGGATATGAAAGTATTAGCTCCTGCAAAGGAGTAGCTCGTTGTTACCAAGTAGATGTGCCTGTAACCATCACCCAAAGAAAACTGCCTCTGTTTGATCAGTAGTGTCAGGAGATGGCTGACAGAGAGGCCCTTTGCGTACAAATGCCAACTGACTATGCATTCTCCTGCTTTACCAAACCCCTTTCTTCACTCCAGTTTTTGTAGTTAACTCAGCCACAGTGCGCAGTTTGGCATTAACCTTATCCCCCTTAGATCTGGACTGTGGGACCAGTTGGTTTCCTTCAGCTCCGTGCATGGATGCAAAGAGCCTGCCTTAGTCCAGCTCTTAGCAGGATTGTGTGACTTCTGCCACTGCTGCACTACTCTGGGAGCAGATGTAGTTTATGCATGCGCTGCTCCTAGATCTAAGCAGCCTTGAAAATGAAACTTCAGCATTTGTCTTTCTGCTTGTTCAGAAAGCACTGTTGGGATCTCATTTTAGGAGGGTACTTGGCTTGAGTTATAACTCCTTCCCTTCACCAGACCTGCTCCCCCACTCCAGTTTATCATAGCGTTACGTGCACCCTGTGTGCTGACCCGCAAATAAACAGACACCTAGTGTGAGAGAAATCCTACCTCTGGTATGTACACCAAATAACTGCTGCTAGATTTTGCATCAGGAACATGTCATATATATGTGAAACTATTTTCTTCAGGTTTTTATGTGGTAGTTTGCTTATTTGCCTGGAAGTCCCACTGTCTTGTCCTCACCCAGGTTTGCATTTCAGCTTGAAACTCTTGGCTTATATGTGAATATATAGGGTAATTTTTTTCACTTACATAGAACTAAAATGACACTTGCACAAACAGTGCCCTAGCATGTGCTTGTTCTGACCTTGGGCAAACTAGAGCATTCTGTCTGAAAACTTCCTACGATCTAGAGAAAGAAAAAAAACTTCTTCTCTTTCCTTCCCTCCTTCCTTCCTTTCTTTTCCATCTAACTGAATTCTGCATTACAGAACCTTGACCAAAAATGAGCCAGTTGAAACTTTTGCTGGAGTGGAGTGTATCAGTGCTGCTTCTTGTATAGACTCCCCTTGTGTTTCATGCGTCTTGTCCAGTATCTTGCCACTTGCAGAGAAAAGAACCAGCTATTCCAGAGGAGAAATGAGAAACTTTTCAGTAGATAGATGCAGAATTTTGACTGTTGTCAGAGGAAAGCTTCTGAAGATGCTGATGCAACAGATGACGGTGAAAAGGCAGCTATCCATCCTTTCTTTCACTGGCAAATCTTGTAGCCAGGTCATGAATTTGAATGATGTGGGTTGGTTTTTTTTTTTTAGGATAGATTCATAAGGAGTTTAGATTATGACTCTTCAAAGCTATGGATTTATCAGTAAATTGTGGCTGAATTCCACCTGGAATTCAGGCTGTCAGTCTGTGTGGCGTCGATTTGTCACATAACTTCAGTAAGAGATCAAGAGAGTTCAGTCAATGAAATGGTAAGTTTGGAAGAGCAGCAAGAAGAATCAATGCTGATACCAATAGAAAGCTCAGTAAAAAGGAAGAGAATGGTGGGAAGAGATGGCTGCAGGAATGATGTCACACTTGAGCTTATGATTTTATATTGTGATAAAAAAAGTCTATTTCAATCGCAGATAATTAAGTAAAGAAATATTTTATTGAAAATCTATGTCACTTCACAATCCTCAAATAAAATGGAAGCTGAGGTAACCTCAGGAAGTGTAGGTAACTCATGCGTATATCATAACCCTTGAGAAATTTTGCCCTCCGTAGTCCTTGGTCCTGAAGTTGAGCAATTAAATGAGAATCACAGCTCATATTAAAGAAGAGTTTTTGACCCTCCTGAATTGAGAGAAAAATTGAAAGCAACATGGGCATACACTTACCACTCAGAGACCAAAAGGAAAGAAAAAAATGTATATATAGTTTTGAGTTCTAGGCCAATGTGATGATGTTTTAAGGTCTAACTTGTAATTGTTGGCCCACTAGGACTAACAGGAGTAAAATATTAGTGCTGTGTGTGGTTTGGCTACAGGCAAGGAGTGTGCAGTCAGATGGTAGATCCTACTAAACTCCACCACATTGTACTGGAATATCTAATGCTGTTACTCTTTTCTGTACTCTCTGATTTGTGTGTGGATATTCTTCAGTTCGCATTAGTAATTCAGCCAAGAAGGCTACCAATATTGGTGACTCTTTTAACACAAAGCATAGATTTCAGACACCCCCAAATATTTAAAACTTGATTTTATTGCCATTGTCTCATCATTGTCTAAATTGTGGCAGATAATTAACAAATCCTGTCACACATTTTCTCAGAATAATATTTTTCCTCCAGCGAATACGTGGGTGGGTAAGTAAAGTTCAGTTGTACATGTCCTTGCAGTGACTATAATCGATGTATTGACCATCTCGCTGGGAGGTAATCCTCAGCTGCTGGGGTGTCTGTCTGTCTGGCTCTCCGAAGGGCCTGTCTTTGTCACACTTTTTTGAGAAGCTTTGATAATACTGCCGTTCGTTCATCAGCTAATACTGTTGACACTACAGTCTTGCAGTGTTTCCTCAAAAATTACCTTGGCTTTTGCTATAGAATGGAAAAACTGATTCCCAAACCAAAGAGGCTTCCTGCGCTGTAGTATGGTGTTTGAAACAAAAACCCCACGTTCAGTGATATGAACTAATACTGAAGAAATGATAACATCAACATATTAACTAACACCCTGTAATTCTTATATCAATAAAAACATATCTGTCCAGAATTAAAATAGTAATGGAAAATAAATAGTGCTCAAGAGACTGCTAGCCATGGCTTTAGGAAAATACTTAAATTTCCCACCTAAATAACCTACTTGAGAATTTTCTAATGTAGAAATGTTCACAATTTCTAGGTAAGTAAAAGATAAAATATAACAAAGAGAAGTATATATGCAGGAAGCATAAAAATTTGAAAAAATAAATGAATAATAATTGCATCTTGTTTTTCTGCATCATCAAATACTTTGCCTAAGCTGCTAGGTAGTAAGCAAATGTCTTTTAAGTAACTAGAAAAGTGCAAATTTCAGATTTTTCAGCCGTTCCGTTAGGCTCCTGAAACATAATGGAAAATAAGTATGCTATGTCACGTAACAGAAGTTAAATATATTTTAAGATTATGCTTTCAGCCTGAGCAGATAAAACGGGAAGATACACAGCAGCATAACTCAACTTCTGTGGCTGAACTGAGCAATATAAGGTACAGAAGAGGAGCAGTTCAGTAGGGCTAACGGCAGGCGCCCCAGCTC